GACGCCCTACAAGCTTTCCAAGTTTAACAGCTATAGTTCTCTTCCAAGATAAAACTGACGTACTTCGTGGTTGTAGATAAGAAAATGTTATTATTTTTGGAGACCTTTTTTTCTAAGACCGCTTTAATGACATAATTATGAATACTATTTGACTGGCTGACAAATTACTCTTCAGGGGCTTGTTTATTTGTCGTTAATGGACTCCTGTGATTTATGAATTCGAAGATGAACTCCTCCACTGAAGCAAACTGTGATTCCGGGATTTTGCAGGACGGTGACAGGCAGTCTTATTAGATGGTGGGGAGTGTTCGCTAGGCCTTACTCTGGCTAAGGTTCGTGACCTTTTTAGGTAACCGATTTGCCGGATGGGTGCACAGTCATGCGTGCGAGTATTGCCGACGACGGATCTGTGTTTTGTCACCGCGTGTCAACTGTTCATCTTCAAAGCCTATTGCACTATCCGCTGCATGACTAGATTAACATTCAGACTCCGTTTTCTCGGGGTTCATATTACCAAGGCTTCAATGCCTCGTTTCCTTGTTTGCATATTGTGCTGTTCAAACCATATTTCCAATTCATATTTACCCTTGACGTGTATCGCACATACGTTATCAACGTTTCGTCCTTAACTCTGCTGTTCCGCTTGAATCGACTTTCATTCCTCGAGTTTTATTGTATGTTTCATTTTAATAGCCCTCATGAAACTTCGATTTCATTTTTTTCTTTTCAGCATTACTCTGCTGTTCTGGAGGATCAGCTCGATTTCCACTCTTACTGTCTTCGCAAGGGCACCCTGCGCGCCTATATAGAGACCGTGAGACTTGAGGATAAGCTACGGGACCACCCTGCTTATTTCAATGCAGCAGCCTTAGCTATTGAGGTACTTAAGTCTCTTTTGTATATTAAAAATCTCACCGGCTGAGATTTTTTTCGCTTAAATTTTGTATATTAACATCTACGTTGCCTACACCTGTTGGATTTCAGATGTGTTTTCGACACCTAAAATGTCATTGATCTTAAATGTAAGCAAACTATATTCAAAACCTGGTTCTGAACTTAATCTACTTCCTTTTTCCAATGCTGTCATGTTTCTAGGTTTATCTCTTCCTTCATTTAAATCCGTTGGGTGAGGAGGCGGAGACTGTCGACCAACCTGGCTGTAAGCCTTTCTGTCTTTTTCATTTTTACAACGCTTTTTGAAAAAAAAGATTCATCATATTTTGTTTGCTGCTGTGGATCGTTTCTTTTTCCATGGCTTCAAAAAAGGCATGCTTTCACGGGTCTTCAACACATCTGTGTACACTGTAGGTTAATTTCTCACAAAAAATAGATTGATAGCACGTCGTTTTTGACCATGTCCACCGTATATGCCACGGAAGGCTAGTACCATGCGCATGAGTTGGTATATAATGATAGTAGACTGGCTACCGTGTTCTCTCCCCTTCCCCATTCTTGTCCGGTATCGTGAGCAAGCCAACGAGATCAGAGGCGACGAAGGTCGCTGTTTGCTGGCACGACGGAAACCCGTACCAAAGAGTGCCACCCGCGCCCTCTTTCCCACCTGTGTGGCATTTTTTCTGAATGCGCATTCCCTATAAAGCCAGCTGACCGTCAGATACGACGGTCAAACTGCCGAGTATTTTAAGTGTTTCACCCAGTGCATATTGAGAAGACTAGCCAGAGCGATAATGGTCTTATTTTTTGCCTACAATGATCTACACTAGTGTCCGTCTCATTTGTCTCGAAATTTTTCTTCCCAAAACCTTAGGGTAGTACGAATGCATATGCAGTTTCATTTTTGTGCAACTTTCTTACTAATTTTGATGGAAAACCCCTTTGTGGTCCATTTCTTCTAAATTCTCGACGATACTATGGTCTGCATGTTTGAATTTGTGGCAAGCTATTCTCAGTGCAAAGCAAGTGGTATAGAGGTCCGCCCTTTGCGCAGACCTTTTGGCGTGTGCATTTCGAGGCAGGCAGACCAACTGGGACCACAATTCCCTTGTATTCTGTCGTCTCATTTTGCCTATAGAGTTCTGTAACTGGTATGCAGATTGCTGTGCTTGCTATTTTCTCACTATTTCCGACAATTAGAATGCTTTGAGAGTTTACATCCCGTTATGTACGCGAGACACCAAC